CAGCCCCGCTACAATTTTTGCCAAAAGATGGTGCCACGTTTACTTCTCTTCCAGAGACTCTGCACTTGGTGCAAAAAGTACGTTCCATCTTACTGGATTCAACTCATCATTAAAGATACCCTATTCATAATAAGAGTTGGTAAAGGCTGCATTAGGTCGATTGCCTCTTAATTGCGTTACGACATAGACATAGTTATAATATGAACGAAATATAACGTTGTTAAGTGAACCTAGCGCCAGAGTGTCGCTATGGTAAACAAATATAGTGAATTTTAAAGTTTAAATGAAATGCAAGAAAAAATGCGTATAATTTAATATTGCGTACAAGGAAGTCATGTGGTGTACACATCAGATTTTTTTTCCTAGTGAACAAATATGTAGTGTAGGAATGGTTTTAAGTGCTTTTCGTGTAACTTACCTAAATCCAGGAAAACATTTGTGCTGGTGCGCTTGCATTTGCTAATTAATCTTTACTGTTTAAGCAATAAATTGCAGTGCGGAGCTATAACCTTAAGTCATTAGTCCGCTGACCTCAGAGATTCCACCAGTTAACTTGTCACGAGTCCAAGAGCGGTTTTTTGAAGCTAAAATTTAACTATGAAACATACTATAAAAGTATATTTAAATTAATTGCTAGAGGTTTGGCAAAATGAAATAGAAATCTGAAGATTTAAGATCTGCTTTAAGCAATACTGCCAAAAAATTATTTTTAATTGCATCAGCTAAATAATTTAATTTGTATTTAGAAATGTGTTCGAAAAAGGAAAATAAAATATTTTTATTCTCAAAATTTTCGTTCTATATTCCATGCAATTAAATGGTCAGCTTCTTGAATCTTTCCTCTTTTTAAAGTGATGTATATCACTGTGTCTGCTAATGATAGCATACTTAGATCTCGTAGACTTAAAAAAAGTTGTAATACTGCTACCCATGAAGATTTACTGTGACAGATTTGTGTAGGAATGGTTAAATGTGATTCCCGTAAATTTACAGATTACCTCCAACGTTGCTTGGCAGCTTATCTGTCCTTACTTTTCTTTTATTCGAATCATACCACTTCTGTTCAAAAAGGAAATTTTTTCTTTTCTTTTTTTTCAATTTTATGCTTTCCTTTTGGATCTTCTCAAGCCAGTATATCTATCAAGTTGGTTAGATAAGTTTCGACGGCAACCCAATACGCTTACATAATTGCTTGCATAACTCTGTCGTTCTACATACAGGAAAAGTTATTCTCGCTATCGTTTTCTAGTGACAACTAAGAGCGAGCATTTCTGCAATAAATAGCCAATTAAAAAAAGAACTGTGATGTAAGAAAAAAACGAGATGGAGAGCGTAGTATGACTTGGTGTAGAGTAAATGGCCTTCTTCCTTTCTCATTTTTTAAACTATTTTATACGCCGTAAAAAATTGTAAAACGTAGGAATAATGCTATCACAAATGCAGAAATTTTAAAAACTGTTACGTAATATTCTTTATTGTTATATTATAATTTATGGCATGATGAATTATCTTACATTAAAATTTAAACTTATTCGTATATTGTGTTCTATTTATTCCTTTTTATTTATTATTATTATTATTATTATTTATTTATTTATTTATTTATTTATTTATTTTTCAGAATTTACTTTCCAGAACTTTTTAAAAAGTGTACTAAACACTGACAGTTGAATACTAATTAAAAATTATTCCAGAATGCATTTCGGAATGAAAGCCATTCAGAATGATTTTAAATACTTATTATCAAAATTAAAATTTGATATATTGTATTTTTAAGCCAATTTTATTTATGAATAACCAAACATGCGGCTACTCAGATCACTACCGTTTAGGGGAGAGATGGTGATTGCAATTCATTTCGTTTTTCATAAAACACGAACGTCTCTATCGCTGGATGGAATAGATTCACCAACCTCTCATTAATGGTTGAAAACTTCTTGCAAAAAAACAAAAAGCAATATGTAGGGGTTAGGCTATTTCACTACGGCAAAGCACGCCTCAATATGGAAAGAATAGTAGCCGATAACCAAAGACTAAAACTAACACTTCTCTCAATAATTTCAGTGGCATTTATTCACATTGTTACAGTTATAGCAATTCACATGCACTATTTCCGTGCCCTTATTATCAAAAATATATAATTCTAAATAGCGGCGAGATGAAGGGGGCACACGCAAGCTCTTTCTTAAATCTGTCTTTAAATTGCTATCAGCTTTTCTTTTCGTTTGCTTGTTTGTTTATTCGAAGAAAAACATATATCTTGCAAATCATGATCATGCCTGTATAATTAAAGCTCGTTATTCGAATGGATTTTCTGAAAAATATTTGAAAATAAATTTAACTGCATTTTGTTGCATTAGAATTAGTGCAACATTAGGAAAAGATTCGGGACTGCCAATATATTTTTCTACGAAGCGTTTCTAACTCTCTAATTTTATAGTTAACATTAGACTCTCATAGTTAACTCTCATAGTTTAACATTAGACAATTCGATTAGAAAACATTAATGAAATAAATCATTTTGAAATATTTCTCGATAAATTATACACTTTTTACCATCGATCTCTGAAAAAAACCAAAGGTATTAAACGAATTGGTTTTAAAGTCTCCCCCCCCCCAAATAGACTTTAAAAAATCTTTTTAAAAATGATGTAATATAATGTTAATGGCAAGGCAAATTAGAAAAAGAAAATGTCCAGTGCGCCGTAATCCTAAAATAAATTTTACTAAGTACAATTAAACGGAAGTCGTAAATCCAATCGGTTTAAGTTGAAATGTGAATGATGGTATCTTATCAAATTCACTTGCTTAGCGTTAAAAAAGTAAAGAGGTCATTGAACAAGCGACATCAAATAATAAAGGTTAGTTATTGGAATATGGCAAAACTCAAGAGGGCTATATGCCTAAGAAGAGAGATGCCGTTATGGAGGAATTTCTAAAAGAATGCGGCTCGTATTTACGTTACGCGTGGGGGAAAAACCACGAAAATGCAGCCAACCCTTTCGCCTGGGTTCATACCCGAGATGTCTTACTAGCATTCAACGATCTTAACTCGGACAGTGGTGGGGCCCAAAAACCAAAAGAAAATTTTGTAAACAGTTCTTAGTTTTTGTAAGTAACTTGTTATAAATATCTTCTTAATTGTTGTAAGTAAACCTAGAAGCGTATTAAGAAAATTTCCACGATTAATATATTGGTTTGTAGCACTAATTTGGTTTGCTATACATTTTTAAGATTTTTTTAATGCAGAGAACATTTTATACTTGAGATCAGAACATAGAAATCATTACTTTGTAGAGTCATTAGGTAATTTTCGAAAGCAGGACATGTGGAAAATTGAGCAACGCCTCCGCCTGGAATCGAACCACAGACTTCTCGAATACGACCGAATACGTGCTGACCACGCTACACTACGAAGGCATGCTAAGAAGGTGGAAGGAATACCTTATAATTTGAGTACAGAATTACTTCAAGATTAACCTTACTCTTAATGTGCCATCATCGGACATATTTATGAGAAAGATTTGAATGAGGAAAGTGATAAATAATGAGAAGAATTTTTATCATATTTACTAACAAAACAAAACAAAAAAATGAAATTTTGGAATGAAAGTATTATTTGGAAAAAAATATATGTTTGAGGTTTTTATATATACTTATTACGTATAAATTAGATCTTACAGTCTAGAAATTTATGAATGTGTCTTCCTTCTGCATTGCTAAAAAACGTGCTATTTGAAAACCGGAGGCAAAATGTTTTTCTTTCATTAAAACCATTTCTGGTTGTCAGACTGATGATTGGCAGACGGGAAATTTGAAACGCAAGTGGAAGAATTCACTTGCAGTTTTGGAAGAATGAAACAAATTCGTTCACGGGCTATTTCAATGTTCATTGAGGAAGCTAATGTTGCATGCATTATTTATGCTTGAAACAAAAGCTGTTTTCGAGTTTCCATTTGGTCTCGAATATGACATTAACAACGAACTGTTTGTTGTAGAAACAAGTTCTTTCGACATTTTAACTGCAATTTCTAACCATTGTTTTATGTAATATTACAAATATAATAAATGATGCATACACATGGACTGTTATAAACAGCAAATTATATATTAATTCAGAAAACGTAAATCAAGTATTTATATGTTATAAAGATTAAAAAATGACGCTACCTCGTGCATTATATTTATTTCATTTTGGGAGGGAGTATCGTTAATTAAATTTCTTATTTCATCTATACTGACTACTGAGTACTCAGCTGCGTTGTTTTTATTCCAACATTACAATCATTATTTTTTTAACTGGTTGTTTATGATAGTTGTTGTTGGTAACTGAAACATGATTAAGGGTATTAATGCTTTACTATAGGGTGGAAGGGTGTTGCTCTACGATTATAACTGCAGGCAATGCTTTTAAAAGTTCATTTCTTCTTAAGAATTAATGCTTAAGCAGAGCTTATGTGAGATTCGAACCCTGACCAAAAGTTAGGGTAGTCAGCATGGCTAACCACTATACCGATTAGGAGAGCACCGACCACATCAAGTCACTAAAAGTCGAAACATACAATAATTTCTATGCTAATACTAATTTAGGCCTTAGTTAATCATTTCTAGCATATACCGAGTCAGTTCCTAGCGACCAAACCTAGAATTTTTGACGGTCGAACTACGTTGTTCTTTGACTGTAATATATGTTATTATTACTATTATTTCCTTCCTGCATTACTTTCTGCTGGGATTCTTCTGTCTCTTTTCTTTTTTTCAGAGAAACATATGCGTGTGGATTGGAATAGATTGCAAATATATGTATGGTAATGGGTATTGATGTTGAAATATTTGGCAAACATTGCATTAAAATAATGTCACTTTTGTCTTTTAAACTAATATTTCTTGAACATACTTTACATGTTATTGTTAAATCCAGCTACTAAAAGCATACCATCGTAAAATGTAATGTTGTATCTTGAATGCATATTTATAATAATATCTTTCACTTCTTTCAGGAATTGAAACCTTCACCTTTTATTTTGGTGTTAAATTCTATGCGTCAGATCCTTGCAAACTACTGGAAGAAATCACTAGGTATGTTTGTTCTGCTTCATCAACAAATTCCATTCTACATTAACCTTGTTCTTATAGCTATCATCTGTAACATAAATAGGCATAAAGGTGACAGGGGAAAGTGTGGGGGACATCAAAACTTTAGTTAGAGATTTTACAGGTATTGTTCTCTTACACTGTCATCCAGAGGAAAGACACTTCCAGACACAAATATTTATGAAAACAGTATCCTGTACCTTTCTATTAAGAACTACACTTTTGCACTCTAAACAATTTATATGATTCACTAAACAATTCATGCTATTGCCGCAAATTTTTTTTTTGGGGGGGAGGAGTACATTTTATGATTCCCATATAGTGTTAATACTTTTTCTGAAATCATTCTGTATGAATGCACAAGATTTATTAGTTTATGGAAATATCCGATTTGGACCCCACAGAGAACACATCATGTTTAAGGATGGCCCACGATGTTGACCACGAGTATTTGTAATTCTGATGTCCTCCTCAACATTTTAATGAGAAAACAATGTATACGCTGTTTTCTCATTGGGGTTTAAATTTCTCAAAGCTTCCAGATGCTGACGTTAATAAGGAAATTATTCGCTTCCTTTTCCTTAAAGTTAAAAATTAATTTTTCTCTTAGCATTATCGTTTCTTCTTTTCAGACCCCAAACAGGTGCAAATCCAGCATTCATAAAAATTAGCATCTTCTGTAGGTTTCAGACAGCAGACAGTGATTAGTTTTACTTTTCTAAGATGCATCTTCTTAATACTTTCTCTTTCAATGACACACATTCGCGGAGGTTAAAACTTTCATTCTTTTCTTTCTTGTTTCTACAGGCGTCTCTTTTTTATTTCCTCACCTAACAGATGGAAAAGAACAAGATTCGGAAGCCCTTTGGCTTCTTAACTCAGAACGCCGTTCGTGTTGGTCCTATGATGGTGGCAAAAGCGTGATCGCTGCAGCCCACTCGTCCATAATTCTTCTAAACCTTCTAGACAAATTAATTTCTAACCCTTATCTCTTTTTCTCCTACCGTTTTTGGAACTGCATCCGAGAGCAAACATCGAATGTGCAGAGTTTATTTGGGTTATAATTTTACAAGTTAAGATAATCTTCATTCCAAAATCCACAATTCGTGATGGCCTTCAGGGTGTTTCAATTTTTTTCCACCATCGTTTCAGCAAATCGAATCTTTTGTTTCGGGTTGGCAAAGTATTATCCTTTCCCCATCCCCCCATGAGACACTGCGTTCTTTTTCCCTTTTGTGAATATTACCACCTTGTTTGTAAACGAACTCTATTTTCTTTTAAATTCCTTTGTTTTTTATCGTTTTGTATCTTTCCCCTTTTCGGAAACAAATGCGCCAAATTTAGTATACTGTCATGCAGATAAAATTTTGCTTCGAGCATTTTATCCGATGCCCTTTGTGCATCCATTGTAATTTATTCTGATCTTTAAGATTTTATTTTCTTCTTTGCATGAAAGACGTTTCATAGAGCAATGCTTAAAACGGGGGAAGAAAAAACTTCCGTCTCTATTTATCTAACTTTTTTCCTTTTACTTCCAGACTGGCTTGTAATCTGCGAGATGGTTCTGAGAAAAAGATTTTACTCTATGCAGTTGCATTAAGGATTTTTTTATCTAAGTTACCTATCAGATGTTTTACTTCTGTGTCAGTAATAAGCAACAGTGTACATCTCCCGCATTCCATACTCTTTGTTAATTTGAAGGAACCAGAAGGAAAGAATTTTAATTAAGTCAACTGTATTTATTGGTGTAAAACTGGAGGCTAACGTCCCGATTAATCCGAGAACAGTTAAATCCATATTATTATTTAAATAAAAACACTATTAATAAGAGTTTATCGCATTCTCCATGTGCGTGTTATTGTAATATACGCGGTAGCACTTGAAGATAGCAGGTGGAAGATCCGTGGTTCGAATCTCAGCGAAGGCGTAGTTAATTTCTCGCGCTTCATGTGAAAAATGTTAATGTTTCTCCAGTGACGTGTAAACAAAAAGAACTATTGATAATAATTCAATTAATTAAATAATTGACTTTGGTCGACTGGAACTCGTGCCTCTCTCCAATCGGCCTTTAAAAGAAAGGAATATCTAAGGCATTTTTTGCATTTCTCAGAGGATGTTCTCGAAGTGATAGCACGTTCAGTTAGCGATCCGTGGTGTGAATCCCGGCAATGACATTTTTGGTTGATTTTGGACGGTTCTTCCTTGAATAGTCTTAAATGTTAGTGGCCTACATAAATTTACCTGTATTTTTCGGGCTGTTTAACTCAAGGGAAAAAATTATTTGATTACGAAAATTAAATCAATATTTAAAGCAAAAAAGAACGCGTTGTAAATAACGGAAGAACAAACTTTATTAGAAAGGAAGCAACGAAATTATAAATACAACGACGAAGTGATTGTCGTACACTTTGCAAAGTGCCCAGTATATCACATACTGTTGGAGCAGCGACGTTAACTCTGCTAACAGTTTCTTTAGAAGGTCAATCTGCGTCATGTAAATGAGACCTGTCGTCGTTGTCATTCACATATTGTACCTGGTGGTCATTTATTTGAACAGCTGTTCTAAATATCAAACGCTATTTTTTATATATATCCGTCATTGAAACAACTTTTCGTCTTTCATGTCCTTCGTACTTACTCGATTTCTGCTTTCGTATTGCATATTTCTACGATGCACTGTATTACGAAAATTTTTACTTTTCCCACTTTGTATCACCTCTTAAATCTGGGATCACCAGTTCTGTTACACCCTGTATTATGGCTCTTAATCGGAAGCTATTGGAATACATACTGCACAGTAAAGAAACTAAATAGTATTACAGTCAGCAAAATCTTGAAAATATAGGTATTCTGTGGAATCAAATACATCTTCAAAAACGACAAGCAAAGTATCATGGGTCACCAAACAGACAGCATTTAACGTCTGCTGGAAGCTAATGAAGTATATTTATTTTCGTTTACTTAACACTGCATTGCTCTGTTAATACAACATTCTGTTATTAACCTTCAATACTCCTTTGTTAGAAGCTAACAAACTGTCTGTTTTTTTTTAATTACCAAATGTTATATGAGCCAAATGTTAATAGCTCCTTGTAAAAAGTAACAAAATATGCTTGCTTTTGACTAACTTCAGCTACGCTGTTTTGATAGCTTATAACGTTTATTCTAAATTTCTAACCATTCATATTTTATTTTTGCTCTATGCCGCCTTTTCTAGTTTCATATGTACAAGCAGAATTGATTTTATGTAGTGGGAGTCTAATTTCTCTTTAATTTTTAGGGACTCCTCACTTTAAGACACAAGACACGTTTATAATTCTTTTACATTTTTACATCGTGTTTAACTTTGAAAAAAGATTTAGTTACCCCTTGCAGTCGCGAATTGTGCGTTAATCCGCCTCTGCGCCCAAGAAACTCACTTCATAAGTAAATATTCCTTAGCCAATGAGGAGAAAAAAGGCTAGGGACTGAATACAGATGATGCCTCTTCACTGTAACTAGCAATTGTTTGAAGTAAATTACTACCGTGAGAGCTTCTGTTCTTGTTATCCGTTAACTGGAGTTTTGAGAGAAGAGGATAAATTCTGTGTGCAAAGGATAAATTCTGTGTGCTGAACTAGAAATTTTGAGTTGCACATTTGATCTGCTAAGATTAGTTTCTATTAATTTCAATAAATTACACGTCACAGTATCACAATTTTAGTTTGGTAATAAACTGAGTTGCATTTATATACCTACTTGATATTAATTCTCGAATACTACAGTATAGCCTTCCTTCAGCAGACCGTTACATGTTATAACAGTTTGTTGTAGGCTAGAATTTAAAGAGGCTAAAAATTTAAAAGTAAAAATAATCAGAAGCATTTTGTCTTATTTGAAATAATTCCTTCTGCATCATTTATATCAATCTATCAATAAATACTGTGATTCGCATATTCCCTAGATGTAAACCTTTAATTTTTAGTACTTCTAATATTACTATAATTTCTTTTTTAGCTATCATTTGAATCTCCATTAACAGCATTAGTTTTCCGTACAGCAGATGGCACAGCAGCTCTTCTTTCTGCGCATACACTTCGATTGCAAAACATCTACATTAACCACTCATGAGTATACCAATGATTTTTCATAATTTTAGTTAGCAGTGTAAGATATAAAATGCAATAAAAATACTTTTAAAGATCTTATTCTTGATGAAAAAAAAAAGACCAAAATTTTATGACATCTTAATCTTTCAAAAGATACATTGCAACTACACGCATTTTCTGTACAGGGCAACTGTAAAAAAAATTACAAAAATTACAAGCGAAAACATACACATATTCTGTTAAGGTAAAAGAAAAATTAAGTGGGTGGCAAAATTTCTTAGAATGAGTTACGCTTTCTGTGCCAGAAAAAATCTAGCAGTCTTAAGGCTTGGCATACTTTTACACCCTAAGATATTCGACTCATTTGTCATATAATCAGTAAATGCAGCTCACGTGACCTGTCGTCAAACACCGCACACCTCGTATGTCTAGGTCAGGCAGGCCGAAAGTGAAATCAGGTATCGCAATCTCGTAACATCTTCTTCGTGCAAAGACAGCTTCAATAAATCATCTCCAAATAGAGATGCAAAATGATTCTCGAGTCTCCAGTAACCCTTCGTTGTTACACTTCAGACACCCACCTATACGATATTACGAAACATTTTTTAAGATGCCAACCTACTTTTCGGGAGCCGTGGTAATACAGTTCAATTTAATTTTCATCTTAAATGGCTTTGTTGTCATGACGACTTATAAGAGATTAAAAGCTTATTGGCCACTTCGTGGAACTCTAAGCTCATTTTCCTTTGCTACATTTTGAGATGATATATTGAAAGTCAAGCTTTTCTTCAACTTATGCTTTTTTTTCCAGCTATTACCGAACTTAATAGCCGATTTCGAGATAATCCTCTTAGAAAAGCTATTCTAGAGATAAATTAAGTAGATATTAAATTGAATGCTGATCTAGATATTTTAAATGAATCAATATTTTGTTATTCCTTTTGGCTTAATTTAATTCATTATGTTACTCCAAATAGTTGGATTATTGAATTAAATGTACCATTTTCTTTGAATAAAATTTTAAACTATTCTTTATTGGATTACATTTTAGGTCACTTATTATATGATTTTACAATTAAGAGTTATTTAATATACTTTGTTGAAATTTAAAGAACTATTGGTTTTTATGAGTAACAGTAAGTTTAATGACTACATGGAGAAAGCAAGAAGTGAAAGAAGCATACAGAATGACCAAAATATTAAGAACAGCGGTTATGCAAAGTACATATTAGTAGCCCACAAGTAGAATATATTTTCAAACAAACATATTCAAATCAAACATTTCCGAATATCTGGACCTCTGGAGTGGATTATTCAATTACAGCAAAGCACACGAGGGCTATCTGCCTTAAGCGAGGGATGCCTTCGTGGAAGACTTTCTAAGGGAAACTGGCTCGTACACACGTTACACGTGGGGAAAATCACGAAAACGCCCATGCAGCCAGCCCGTTCGCGTGATTCGAACCTCGGACCGAACTACCAGTGTTCAGCGTCTTTACCGCTCGGCCGCTTTTGGGCTCTGGACTTCTAAGTCGACAAAATAAATAAATATGACAACTTAAGAAGCTTTAATCACGGATCCATAGTGTGGTGTAAGATTAACCAAAGATGTTTTGAAGTAGATATAAACTTTATTTACCACCACAGAAACGACTATCAAGAGTCTAAAATAAGCCCATTAAGAGTTTGTAATGTGTGTGTGCGTAAATGTGTGTGGCAAAGCCTCGAGAGCTATCTGCCTAAGAGGAGGGATGCCTTCGTGGAGGACTTTCTAAGGGAAACTGGCTCGTACACACGTTACACATGGGGAAAACCACGAAAACGCCCATGCAGCCAGCCCGTTCGCGGGATTCGATCCTCGGACCGAACTACCGGTATTCAGCGACTTTACCGCTCGGCCGCTGGTGGGCAAGAGTTTGTAATGAATATAGTAGCCAGCGGGCAATCGATTATAAGCTGAAAAAAGCTGACATTTTACTCACGTGTTACAGCTTCACCTTACCTTATTCGACATCGTTCCTTTCCTGCTGCCAAAAATATTATATAAGTTGTGTTTTTACACAAAATATTCCCTACTACAGCGCTTAAAAATTTTCTTAAACACATTTATTTTCTTTCTTATCAGGTATCAGTTTTTTCTACAAGTAAAGCAAGATATCTATCAGGGAAGACTTCCATTGACTTATGATTTAGCTGCTGAACTATTCGCATATGCTATTCAGTGTAAGTATAGCTTTTCAATATATCATAAATAGTTATTCTTCGTATTTATTTTAGAGCACTTGAAGTCTGCTTTCATCAATTACTTTAATTTAACGCAATATTTGACTAGCAAATATCCCAAGTCGGACAGATCTTGCCTGAAACGATTTTGTTTGCATATAGTAACTATTAATTTTAAATAAATCGATATATATATATATATATACATATACATGGTGTAACTTTTTTACACTCGAACTACAGTATCAAATGTACTTTTAAGCAATAGCTTTTTAGAATTTTCCTCTTTGCTGTATATATATATATATGATGTACCAGCTTTAGTCGTAGCTTAAATTATCAGACGATAAGTTTAAAAAAAAAAAAAACAGGATCCATTTATTATTATTCAGGAGAAATAGCAGTTACAAAATCAGATATCCGGAGTAAATAAAAAGAATTACTAATAACTTTTTGTATGTAGTTTACTGCATCGTGACATTTAAGAAAAAGCCCCCCCCGATATTCCTTTGGCGAGTCCTTTTATAGCCTCTGGAAAGGCGGAGCTTCAAAGAAATGACGTCAGCCTCGTCAGCCAATCCAGTTCGCTTTAAATATTTCGAGAACATTCTATAACTGTACGTGTAGAAAAAGCGGGGAAAAACAACTTGACTACGGGGCTGTGGATTTAATTCCACGTACTTTCAATAAAGAGAACGTCGCCATTAAAAATGAAAGAAAACATACAGTTAGAATTTTAAAGTGTATTCTTGACTATGGAATTTTATTATCACACAATATATATATATAAAACTATATATATATAATAAAAGTTTTTATGTTTTTTACGAGATAGCTTTTACTACTTTAGTATTGTTTGTTGTTGTTAACATGATTTTACATTTTGCTAAGGAACTACTAGTGTCAATGTATTTTTTAGCATTAGCTTTTAAACATTCCTCTTACTTAAAAAAAACTATATATATATATATATATATATATAGTATATAGTTTGCAGCAAAAGTGTATATATATATATAGTATATAGTTTAAGGCAAAATAACGAAGAAAAGAAGCATAAAATGTTCTGAATTGCAGGTATAGGTATATATATAAATATTTATTGTGATATAAAGTTGCAAAGTTTTGTTTTAGAGCAGAAAGCTTCTAACGCATTAATTATGAAATATCCATTATTGAACTGAAAGGAAGTGTAACTTCTCCTTAAACACACAATAAAAGATGAATGCTTTGAAAGGAAACATACAAAAGATTATTAAGAAGTTGATCGTTTTGCTTTGCAAGCTATCCTTGATTCGAGTAGTGATTTATATCATCGATAATTACGTAATTATCTATTATTAAAACTCATTATTTGGGTTACAAGTATCGGTGATTAAGGTGAAAGAATAATAATAACAGAAAGAAGAAACATTGAAATAAATAAGAACTAACAACGTACTTTGTCAGCAGGTGTAACATAGATAACTTCCAATGAGTTTTCGTGCCATATAGTATAATTTGTTAGTTGCAGTTAATTCAATGATTATTATCCCCCATTGTATGAATATGAAACCTATTACAAATGTTCTTATTTTAGGTCAATGAAAAAATTTCGCAATACTTGTTTCTTTACACATTGCATCCATAAAAGGCTTTACGGGGCCTTTATTTTCGTCATAGCCGGTCTTTGCGAAAGCCGTATTTTTAGACAAGAATATACTTTAGACATATATTCCGAATTAAAACATTGTTTTAATTAAGTCAAATATTTATCTTATGGTAAATTTATACTTAAATCGATTAAAACAGTGTTTTAATTAAGTCAAATATTTATCTTCTGGTAAATTTATACTTAAATCGATTTTGTAAAAATTACGAAATTTAACTTTTGTAGGGTTTCCGGGTCTGTATAGTTGTATATAATAAAACTTAACACTCGTTCTAGAAAACAAAACACGGAAAACGTTTAATTTCTGTACAACGAAAACTGACGAAGATATGTTTGAGACTTTTATAGGTTTTTCAAGACCAGAAAATCAAACCTATGGCTCTCCTTGATCGGTCGATTTGAGGCAGATTGTAGCCTAAAATTGCTCAAACACGATTTTGCATTGATTCATTTAATTGAGTTTTTCACTTTTCATTCACGTTTGTTGCCATTCGGAAAAATGTTATTTCTTCTTTCAGACTAATTGTTATCGATTAATAAATTAAGCTGCTTAAAAGGAATAGATGCAGTTCTAAATATTATTCTTTTACATTTTAATCTGATTGATTTAAATACAAATGCATTTAATTTATGATGTACCTAATTAGAAACATGAAATATTTTTATAGAAATAACTTTTGCACTTTCCAAATATACAGAAAATATATAAGATTACTATGTTAATCTAAATGTATATTATTCCAATATGCTATAAAATGTTTTCGCTATTCCGTTTATCTCAGTTGGTAAACCCTATTGAAATTTCGCAGAAAAACGTTCTGGATGACGCTTAAAATCTGAAACCTTTTAGATTTTGTATCACTGGAGATATTTTTCGGTAGCGTACTACTGTGTAATATTCTTAATTTTTTATCCCACCAAAATTTTGCGCAAATCATTTATAAATGTTCAAATGCAAGTCAGACGCAAGTTAAATATTTTCTCATACTGTTTTATTACTTTCTATTTCTTATTTTTATTTGAAGAAAAAATATTACGAGTTGGCTATATGGCATATCGTAAGAATCGAGTACCAACTCGTATAAAGACTAATTTTCAAGAGCGTGTTTTTTTTTTTTTTTTTTTTTTTTTTTTTTTTTTTTTTGGACAAAGTTTTTTATAATATTTTCTACTTTCCTGAAAGTGAAACCAATGAAAATTTTAAATTGCTCTTACGTTTTATGAACCTATGTTTTCCACTCTTCAGATGGTTGAATTAATTCTCCATGAGTTAGATGATCTACCCACGAAAAAATACAATTTGAATCTTCTTTTAGTTAATGCGTAGATTATATTCTCCAAGATGAAAGTATTCGATATGATGCTTTTTTTGCTCCCCATCCTGCAATGTAACTGTGTGATGTTTGTGTCAGTTAGATCCATATTCGAAATTTTCAAATGAGCAATCCATATTTTTTTCGATATCACTGTTTTCTTAATATGAAAATGAAATTTTTGCGATCTTTTTTGACAACGTTTATACCAACATGTCGGAAATCGTTGAAATTAGATAATAATCTTCTAATCTATTTTTCGTGTTTGTGTTTTCTTGAACTCCAGTAAAACCGTTCTTGCTTAATATCACCAGACGTAAACGCTATCGAGCACTAAGAGGAGTAAAACGATCATCTAAGTCTTTCTCTGCCCCTTATGTATCATAAGGCATTTCTCGCACCTTCCTAGCGTGCTTTCGTGGTGTAGTGGTTCTGCACGCTGGGCCGGTATTTCAGAGGTCCGTGATTCGATTCCCAGAGAAGGCGATTGCTTGTTTTTCAACTTGCCTGCTTCCAAAAAAAATATCTAATATCTCTGCAGTATGAAAATGTATTTTCGGGAGTGTCTTGATTTAAACGATGTGTTAAAACGTATGAACGTTAAGATATTTAAAACATGTGCTAGAAATTAGAACACCTTTCTGAAAATCTTGCAATGATTTTTTTTTCTAGTGCCTCTCATGTTTTTTACAATTTTGCAAAAGTTATCTTTGATCCACCCTGAGTTGATATATACTTTCCGTAAGAACTTTTAAAAAGAAATCCAAACACTTTCGGAATATACTAACTAGTGAAAATCTGAAACAAATTATTTATTTCTTTTATAAGATTTGCTAAATCGCGACATAATTTAGGGTCAAACCCAATTTTGTATCTTTCTAAAGTAGCTGTATTTGTCTCTGAAAACAACCGAGTTGCTAAACGTATATTTTGTCGCTGATATTTTTCACATAATATGTCAGCTTCTGTCACTTTACAGTAAATTTTGCATTCATCAGAATTAATTTTAGGCAATTCCAAAAGTAGAGTTTTACATTTAACGGAGTTATCACTTAATACGAAACTAGTATCTAAAAGAAACAGGTACACGAAACTTCTATCTACTACGAATAAACTTCAAAAGATGCAGCGTTTTCCGACATTATACGTCGAGACTCATGGAGGTAGGATATATAAATCTGTTTTTGCCTCCGAGTCCACTCTTGATCTATGCACTAGGCAATAAAGATTATACGAGACAAAGAATCAAGATCAATCAATCCCAGACAAAGATTGAGGCAATAAAGATTATCCGAAACAAAGAATCAAGGTTTGTTAATTACTCGCAGTTGCTACCAGTCACATGAACTTTACATGGTATCCATCTTCTTTTTAACAGCATTTCGAAAATCTCATCAATTTTTTATTTATGATAACTCAAAAGCATTTCAAAAACCATTTAAAATTCAACATAAAAGTAGAAATAGAGTACTGTACACGCATCTTGTAATTTCTCTAGCGCTTCTCTGTGGGCAGAGCATCTGAGAAGAATTATGCTGCAATGGACTTTTGTAATGTTCTTGGGCCTTGGACGTAAAATTCCGTATGGATTTCCGTATTCGTTACACATGATAATTTCTACCAGCTTTTAATGTATCCGATTTCGGGTTAGATGTTGACATAATATTTAGTAAGAATAATTTTGGTCAGCATTACATGTGTAAAGAAATTTAGAAACTGTTTCCTTCCGTAAAAACAATAAATTGTTAATTGAAAAGTGCCTTCTAATAATGTCATACAGCAACGTCTGGAGTATAGTGCGTTCCAAAGTTCTGTTGTCCGCATTTCCCAAGGCATCCTCAAGGTACCAAGGCACTGCCTAGGCGAAGTCGACTGCACTAAGAGGAACAACATTAGCGAAATATTTGGGCGACCGATTGTCTGGTTGGCTAAATTCACGTAACACTGGTAGTTCATTCTGATTCTATTCTTAAAAGATGAATGTACTGATTGCTTGAGGTTTCCGATATTTTTCTTGGGTATAACACCTGTACTCA